CCAGACGACGCTGCAGATAGCCTGTCTCTGCTGTCTTAACGGCTGTATCCACCAAGCCCTCTCGACCAGCCATCGTGTGAAAGAAGAACTCCGTGGGCGTTAGGCCCGAGTAGAAACTGTTCTGCACAAAACCTCTTGCCGCAGGAATCGCAGCTGAAGTAAAAGTTGTATTTGTAATTAGCTTGAAATAGAGTAGAGCACATCTACTCACAATGCCTTTCGAAATGAGGTAGGGCGCGATTCTCGAAACCATTTGGTACTCGTTTGCCGCTAATAGCCTGCTGTCCCACACAAGCAATCATCTGGGAGATGTTAATATTCGAACCCTTTGATCCACTTAGAGCCATTATCAGCGCGCTATTTGTGGGATGGAGCTCTGCAAAGCAGGTCTTGGCAGCCTGCTCTCGAATCGCCGACAGTTCACGCAGCATCACGGACTCCAGCGTCTCCTCCGGGGTGCAACCAGGTTGACACTGCAAGGTGCCCGCCTTAAGCATTTCAATATACTCATTACATTTCGTATAACCATGTTCCAATAACAATTCCTTGTGTTGGAGAAGCTTTTTGCTGGGAGTGACGTCACTAATGCCAAAAGAGAAGCCGCGATTTTGCAAAAAGTACGATGCAATCTGAAAAGAAGATACATTTTGGGGATTAGTGGAGCAAATTTTAAAGTTAACTTTAAATATTATTGGTTTGAAACCATATGCGGTGTAACCACATGGCTGTTTGTTGTCAGTCTGGTCTATTAATAAATAAATATAATAACAATTTAAATTACTAATTTTAAACTAGTGCTCAAAAAAATACAATATGTTAACTTATAGAATTTTATCTTAAGTTAGCAAATAGAAAAATAAAATTAAATACTCGTGCGTTTTATCTTCAATCTTTGTGTAATCAATATCTGTCACTGTCAAAAACAAATAACTTTCGTCGAAGTTTATATACCCTTGCAGTTATGGCAAATATTAATTAATATTTACCCTCTAGGTGGAGAATGGCATATACTCTAGATGGCCTGAAATCAGAATACCCTTTAAAGGGGTATAAATAACCCTCGATCTACAACATTTTTACGGTTGCTACTAATTTTGGAGCAATAGTCACAAATTTATAACAATTCATGTTCCCAGAAAACAATCACAAACAATTCGTGTTCGTAGAAGTAATTAAATGTCAGCTTTAACAACAATGGAATTAGTGAGATACCGCTCTATAATGTAAGAGCAAGACCTACGTCGAATTTACTAAGTTAAGTTAGCAGTTAATCTTATCAGAAAGTCACAATGTTAAAAAAAATTTCGTGCAAAATACAGAGATAAAAGATAGCTAGCTGGCAAGTCAAGGAATTGAGACGTGTGAAATTAATTAAGTTAACTTCCGACAGAGCACCAGGCAGGAAGACATGGCGGTGAATTACGAAAAGTCCATCGCGCTAATTCTATTAGCTGGGCTTACAGTTCTCGGGCTGCTAATGCGATCCTCGGAAGCAGCCGCAATAGTAAGTAGTGACCATAGCGGGTCAAAGCCAGTGTATAGGAAATGATATACTTGATTAGTTCAATTTCGACAGCAAGGAAGAATCATATCGGGAACCAAGGCAAAACTTGGTCAATTTCCCTGGCAGGTCATTCTGAAGAGGGACGAATGGGACGATCTACTCTGTGGAGGATCCATCATTTCCTCCACCTGTGTGCTGACGGCAGCCCATTGCACAGTTGGCCAGGCCTCTGTTTTTCTAATCTTTGGTAGCGTGGAGCTGAACAATGAAAATGCTCAGAGCATGACGTCCACGAACATCATTGTGCATCCAAACTACAATGAAAATTTGAATAACGATGTCTCGTTAATAAAACTGCCGGCGGCACTGACATTTTCAACGAGCATTCAGCCCATACAATTGGTGACAGAGTCCCAGAGGTCGGAGAATTTTGTGGGCACTACGGCAGTCATTGCTGGATTTGGACTGATGGACGACGAGTATCTGGACTATTCGCTGGAACTGTTGTATGCCGAAGTGGAGATCATAAACAACCAAAGATGCGAACCCATCTTTGGGACTGACGTCGTACTGGAATCGACCATGTGCGCCATTGGCTTGGGAGGAAGCAACATGTCCATTTGCAGCGGCGACTCCGGCGGCCCGCTGATCATATTCAACACCACCACCGGACAATGGCAACAGATCGGCATTAATTCGTTCGTCGCTGAGGATCAATGTACCGCAAGCTATCCCTCTGGTTATGTACGTCTCACCTCCTATCTGAGCTTTATTGCCCAGAATACAGTGGGTGTTGTATAAAGTCTGAACTGATTTTAATAAAAAAAATATATGGCACATAAATATTACTATGGTAATTATAACCATTACTCCTAAAGCCAAATTATTCAAGTACAAAGTTGTGTATACGAACCCTTGCTAATCTCCACATGGCCTTGGTAGCATGTAGTTCCCCAAAGTCTCTGAGCAGCAAGTAGAATATGCACTGTTTTGTACCAGAGCCCATGGTAGCCTTGTCCATAACACCGCACATCAGCTCTGAATTGCGTATGTGGATCCCTAGGAATATAAATAAATAATATTAACCTTGATTTGTAATCATAATAAATCAGTTAGCACTACTTACAAGAGTCATTGCTGCACAGATCCATGTTACGCGTGTAGTTTCGCCCTTTGTTGACCATGTTGAGACGCACTTCCGAGTCATCGTTGGGTCGCATTAGCAAGCTAAACATTTGTTTGCCCGTCCACAGACGTCGCGGCTTAAGCAGAGCAGGTGGTGGCAGCTTTATGTGCATCGTGGAGTCCTCGTTGGCCAAGAAGCAAGCGGCCAACTGCATGGCCTCTTCCTTGGTAAGAAAGACCTCCTTTTGGGTCAGCAGATAGCCTCCGGTTATAAAGTCCTGTGTGGCGGCAATTAGAATCTCACCATTCTTGGGAGTTACCAAATTCGATTGATTGCCCATCAGAATGAGGGCTTCAGCTCTTGCTTCCTCCGTTTGTGGCAAGTGCAGATTCATTTCATCGCCGTCGAAATCGGCGTTGTAAGGCGTACAAGCACACTCATTGAAGCGGAATGTCCTTTGTGGCTGCACCTTGGCGCGATGGCACATAATGGACATCTTGTGGAGCGAGGGCTGACGGTTGAACAGAACGATATCTTCGTCGCGCAGATGACGTTCCACGATGTCACCGCACTTGAGCTCCTGGGCCACCTTCTCTCGATTGCCATAGGCAAGGTACTTCTTAAAGCTCGATCCCCGCTGCTGCACATAATTGGCGCCCGGATGCATACTTGGCCCATTACGCACTAGTTCCCTCATGTGACGCATATTAGCTGGATTCACGCGCTCGGGGTATGTGAGAATCTTCGCCACACGCACTGGAACACCAACCTGATTGATCATTAGATTGGGATCTGGTGAAATAACAGTACGCCCACTGAAATCTACTCGTTTTCCCGATAGATTGCAACGAAAGCGGCCCTGCTTTCCCTTCAAACGCTGCACAATTCCACGCGTCGTTTTCTTTGGTGCCATATTAATTGGAATGCCACTGATTTCGCTGTGGAAATACAGAGCCACATGGAGCTGCAGAAAGTCCCAGTCCTCGTGAATGAGCTCGATCTTGCCGCCGGTGGCCATGTGACGCTGAATTACATCATTGATGAGCAGGATCTCACTTTGTTTCATGGTCAGGTCGTCCTCCGTGGTGCCAGCCTTAACTTCGGACAGAACCGAGGGTCGAATGCAGGCGGGTGGCACAAAGACTCGAGTGACAATCAGGTGCTTTGGATGGGCGTCGTGTGAGCACATCCCCAGCAGGGCTACATCGCTCTGCGGGATCTGTTCGAACAGGTCGAGCACCATGAGTGGGGTAAGCTCCTCGGCAGAGCTGTAGTTGCCCAGCGCTGTGTTTAGGTCACGATTCGACTCCGTGGAGCGGAGCATTTCGTTCATGTTGCTGGTGAACAACGAGTCCACCTTCCGTCCCTTGTAGGGATCATGGAGGATTTTCAGTAGGCCCGGGCCCTTCTTGACGCCACCATTCGGTGAGCCGCAGTGCGGGCATTTGGTCACCTTCTTGGCCTTGGCCAGCATTTGCACATGCAGGGCCTTCTTGCCCAAGTACGAAAAGTTGGGGTTATGCAGCTTCTTCTCGTATATTTGCCTGTCCTCCGGCTTGAGCATCACATGGGCACATGCCTTGCAGATCATCTGCAGGATGTTGATGGTGGAGCGAAAGTGTCCGATGTGAAAGACGGGCAGCGCCAAGTCCAAGTAGCCAAAGTGGCCGATGCACTCGTTCAGCCCTTGGCCACAGGTCTCGCACATGGCGTCCTTCGTGCTTATCCCCATCCGGCGATCCAGGACTCCATAGGGAACCGGCTGCCGCTGGGCCTGGTACAGATTCTTCGAGATAATCCGCACCAGGGCTTCCTGTTGGATTTCATCCGCGCCGCTGATTCCAAACTGCACATGTGAGCTGATCATAAATTGGTTAATTTACTAATTTACATTAATTGAAGCCACAACTTACATCTTTTTGTTAAGCGCAGAGGCGCGAAACTGTTCCTTGGGCATGGTTGTAGTTCGAAAAAGTGAACTTTAAATTATATACAAATTGTTTACAAATAAATAACATAACCCGGCACGATTTTTTTATAAGACCGGACCGGACCACGGATGGAACACCTGATTGGAATACCGATAAGTTATCGATGTACTGTGTTATCAATTTGAAGCGCTTCCAAATAGGAACGATTGAAGTGGAACACTGTTCCGTAGCAAGATTAAGTTTAAATATTTGTATTTTAATAAAAAAAAAAGTATAGTTACGGTTGATGTATTGCGCTTTACGCATAACATATAAGACTAGGACAGCTGGCTGTTTCCAGCTGAGAAGTCGTCTATCGACTTAATTTAAAACAGGAATATGTTATAATGGCAAAAGATCAACTCTAAAAACTTCTTGTGTATAAAATTAATTTTTTTTATTTTCAAAACAACAAATTAGATTTCTATAATACCTTAAGTTCTAACGTTATTCGTTTTCATATGTTATAGACTCGTTTTTGAAGCTGTGCACCTTTTCATACCATATATCATCAGCCCCTTGCTGTGTCTCTCCATAAAACGTAGGGAACGGCGGGGCTTCCTTATTTCTGCGCAGCGGTAAGATTGTATCGTATATATAGACCAGGCCGCCAGTGGGGCCGGGCACTGAGCTGCCTTGCACCCACATAACATTGTATTTCGTGTTTATTCGCCACACACGAAGGCCCTTAATGATGCGCCACCGATTTCCCATATGACCGGGCATCTTGGTACCAGGCCAGACGCGGCCCTTTTCGCCTCCTCCGCCAATATTACCAGCACGTCGATGCGTCTTCGTGACACCGTGAGATGCTGGCATGCCCTTGAATCCGTGACGCTTAACCACACCTTGGAAACCATGGTCAACTCTGTAAGAAAGTCAAAGAGTTAGAGAATAAGGTATACTTTTTTAGCTATATTTATAAAATGTAGAAAAATACTTACGTTTTGCCGCGAACATCGACAAAGTCACCGATGCCGAAGTGGTTTACATTTAGGGGAGTGCCTGGCTCAAGTTGAGCCTCTGGAGAAACGATGAATCGTGCCAGGTTCTTCTTGGGCACAACACCCGAATCCCGAAACAATCCAGAGTATTCTTTGGTCAGAAGGGCTGGGTTTGTGCTCTCGGAGCCAACGAGAATACAGCCGCGCTTGTGCAGATTCTTGACATTGGGAGTTTGGGCGGGTACATACTCTTCCGGAGGAATGTACTTGATGACATGGTTGTCCGCAATCTGCAACAGCGTGGTGCGAATCCGTTCGCCATTCTTAAGCCACAGGGGATATTGTCCAATCTTCCGCGCTATAACGCCGCACCTTCTTAAACCTGGGTTCCACACCGCCTCATTCGCAGATGCCTCCTTGGTGTTGATCAAGTTCTCCTTCTTGACTGCAGGAACACCAAAGTTATCACTTCCCAGTTCGTTGACAAACTGCTTGTTTTCTGATGTCATCAAATCATCGTATTTCTGTCGTATTGGAACTCGGTTAATTGGTTTGTTTGAAGGAAAATATAAATAGAGCACATACTGTGATTTCCTTGCGCAGAAACCATTGGGGATTCCGAAGTCGGGGTCTGCTCAAGTGGCCCTTATCACGCACCTGGGTAATCGTAACCCCACAATTTCCACTAAGCCTGAATGAGGAAATATAAATAAAGTAATGTCCAGTGGGGCAATGGTTGTTGTACCAACCTCAGACCCAATAACTGATTAATAACACTCCGCATCATCCTTATATAATATATTTCAATAATTCATAAAAACGAGCCGGTGCGGTAGAGGTGGAGAAACATCGATGTTGGCCAGCCGATGTTTAGAAAACATCGATGATATCGATGTTAATATCGATGTCTCTCCACCTGTACTCCTGAAATCGAAGAGGAAGAGAAGAAAACTATCGACGTATTTGTATCGATCGATTCAAAACAGAAATAAATCAGACAAAATAACAAAAATAACACCAAAAAGCAGTGCCGCAACGGTGCGGACTAACCAACAGACATGCCACATCGATGGTATCGATAGTTGGGCTATGGCTAGCATATCGATTGCTTTATACTTTTTTCGCACAGACGCATCTCAGCGGAATGTGTGGGATTTAAAAGATGTGAAGCTCCGATTAAACACTTTTTGCCACTTTTTTCGTAAAATTAACTACCTGAGTGCGATTAATAAATTATTAATCATATCTTTCTAATCTTTTTACGTTTACGTGGTGTAAGTTTTTTTTGAAATCATCTAATAAAATATTTATATAGACTTATAAAAATATATATCTACCATGTAGTCACAATTATCTTTCTACCATTATATCGCAATATATTATCGCTAGTTCGCATCCCAGTTTTTTGTAAAATGTCAATTCCACAGGTGTGAAATTCCAATTCCCACGAAGGTTGTAACATTTAAGGGTTTGGTTTCCTTAAAACACGTAATAAATAGGATTTCTCATATAATCTTCTTTGACAGCCTAGTTTTAGTTGCCTATAAACAAATATAACCCCTTTAAGTAATAAAAATGATGTTTTCCATAATTTTATCGTAGGTAACAGGTGGGTGTTGGCACGGCAAATGCCTATGGACCATTTCCCAAGTAGATGCTGGACGCGTACCGGTGGAGGCGCGGTATTAGATGCGCTTAACAGCACATTTTATATGCCTAACAGCACGTTAAGATAACTTGTGTATTTTTATCAGACCTACATTAATTTTTTTTTCTAATCGGAGATTTAACAGCCAAAGTAATATATATATTGTGGTGCATTTAGAATACAATGGAATGAAATGTGCAATTGATATTGATGCTGAACAATATCCGTTTACCGATACGAAAAGCGCGACGCGGGCAATTGGCGTTATTCGAGCAGGGAAACATTAGACATTGGGAAATTACTCATACACTAATGTTTACTCTGTGAGTAATTTTAACACGGTACGAATACAAATGTGTGTGCGGTTGCGGTACGCGAAAAACTACCGACGGTCGCCTTTCGTAACTAAGAGCATTTATTTTTGTTTTGTACAAGTGAATTCCGATGGGCTATGGTCATAGTCGTATGCAGAGTGTTTGCGGGGCTGAGGATCCGCTGAACGGTTCACTATAAGGATTTGATTTATTTACTTGTGATTCCATTACATATATGTGCTGGTGTGTATCTACGTATGTGCATGCATACATATGTTATTTAGTTTTTTTTTTGTTTTAAACAAATACATGTGTACGGAATAAACAAAGGATTTGGTGTTGCAGTTGGCTTTCATCCCAGGCGTATGTCCGAAATCCGAAATCCGAATTATAGTGGCAGTGGCCTCGCAACCTGTTTTAAGATGAATGTTTACATATGTACATCGAAATTTAACAAGTTTATGCAAAAAAAAACGCCTCTCGATACAGCCTCCCCGCCCCCTCCCCTATATGTTCATGTAAACAGTGTTGTAAAGTGTGCACTTGAGTTATTTATCATTAAACAAACATAAACTAAAGTTATTTTTAAATAAGAAGTGTGCGCAACATACTTAGCAACAAAACAAAAGACAGGCGGTGCACATATTGTATGTATGTGGATATTTGTACATTGAACAACTCTAAGCTGGTATAACTATGGAGAGCGATAAGATAAATTAAAAGGCGGAATGCTTGAGTGTTTTTAAAGCCCCAAAAGACCACCATAACTTAAAATTGTAGGAATAACTAAACCTCAAACCTTAAGGCAGAGCAACAGTTGTGCTTGTATAGTTGTATAGAATTTATTTCAAGCAATGTTTTCATTTATATTATTATTCAGGTTTGACCACTTGATTTTAATTAGCATTTTGATATAAAATTAGCTTTCTTAATGATTGAATTAGGGGTAAATAGATCTGTGGTCCTTCGAGCCGGATGAAATTTCCGCAGGATGTTTACCAACACTATCATTAATGGATGCAATATCTATGGGTGTGTTCTTTTTAAGTGGGAGAATATATATGATGTTTTTGAGTTATTCCTTATCAATACTCATTAATAAACAAGTTACATTTGGTGTTTTTTGTTTATGCCTATCTTAAGATCCGATAAGGATTGACGTTTTTATTAATTTTCTTTAAATTGAAAACCCCCAATCTATTTTCAAAATCATTTTTCATGGGAAGGGAACTTTTTCGCATGTTGATTGGAAATTATCTCAATTTGCAATGTCGGTTTTTGTATTTATGTAATGGTGGGGGACTTATCAGCTTGGTGGCTAGTTTGATTCTGATAGGAAAGTGTTCGCAAGTGTATTTAAACTTGTTTTTGGTAGACGCTTCTATATTCGAATGAGATAAGCAGTTTGCCAAAGTGTGGGTGTTTTTCGGTACCCTGGCGATAAGAAAAAAAACAGGCGTCCGCCCGCGATGAAAGTTAGTCGGTGACTACCCAATTGCTATCTGAGCGCATCGGTCTTATTAATCTCTTTATATAATCTGTGCTTCATTTTTTTCGCAGAATTATTTTGATCTTTTGTTTATTTCCCCAGTTGAGAGTAGATTATATTGGGATCCGCCCATAAATCGAATTTCTCCCTATCCGGCAATAATCACGCCTTGCGTGTCCAAAAATAAATTGACCTATAACATCAATAAATCGTAAATTATTAATTGACAGCTATTAATCACTGGCTATTATTTTGGTGACCCCGACGTGATCCGTGGGCAATAACCTAGAGAGCTAAACAATTTTTTTAATATTTTTTTTACGGCAAATAAAACCTATAGAAGAGAAAGTGCTGAGGACATGTTTATTAAAGAGTGTGTAGTCATCTTTTAAGGACCAACTGCATCGTGTAGGGATAGCGGATTCATCGTGTAATCCCAGCATATCAGATAAAAAATGTATGATTACAATAATAATAAAGAAATACCTCATATCAACAGCTTCACCTTTAAAAAAGTGGACTACAAATTAATTTCATATTAGTTATATCCACAGGAATTCCAACATGTATCGTCCACCTACTGAAAAGCAGTATTTACATTGAAAGGCCAATAATTTAAAAGGAGTAATTCTTCCTGTAAATGTTTCAAACGTTTAAACGCTTGGCAAATATACGCAATATATTGGCAACTGAGGAAGAACTGCACTCCGTGAAAACACAGTGAGCCTGAAATAACCTGAGGAACCTAAGGCCAGAAAATCTTCAATATTATTGAAACCAAAAGCAAACACAATGGGCGGCGGCAAAAATATACGCCGCGGCTTGGAGCCACTGGAGTTTGAAGAATGCATCGTCGACAGTCCGGACTTTCGCGAAAATTTAAATCGACATGAAAAGGAACTGGACCACACTAGTCATCAAATAAAACGAATAATCAAAGAGGTCAAAGATCTTATGAGTGCGGCAAAAAGTAAGTAACAAATATTAATATTCAACGTTACTGGTTAATTAAAAAGGAGCAGGAAACGTTTTCAACTAAACAATATAGACAGGATGGTTTATTTGTAGCAAAAATATAAGGCATATATATGACAAGGGAGATTTAAATTTAAAAGGTCGACGAATTCCTTGGGGTAGGGCTTCCTAACTCACTAGTTTCATCCGTCTGGCTATAATCATATGTTTGATAATAGTCGTATTTCTCTCGAGGAAGGCCTCTTAACTCAATATTATCTACAATCTGGCTCAAGTCTCGTGATCGATGAGAGTCGTAGTGATCTCGAAAACAGTCGTCTTTCAGCTCTTTGATGTACTCATCCTCATCGACAGACATTACCCGAGTGAAAAGCGATATCTTATTGATATCTTGCTTCATCTGCCATTCGGGATTTTGTTCTCCATACTTTTTATCATCGGGATACTGTATGTCCTTGTCGAAATCATGTCGTCCTTCACTCAAGATTTCCAGGTAATCACTAAATTCTTCAAACGATATGTAACGCATATTTGGACACATCCTGGTCACGGGCCGATGGTATTCGCACGAAAGATCATTTATCCAACTGCGAGGCTCCAGCGCCTTTACTTGTTTGTATTCAACATTATCATCGATGCAACTGGGATCATTGTAAACGGTTATTATCAAACTGCTGTTGAACAGTCCATCCCGAACGAGTGGCATAAAGTCGGGGGACTGACTGAACTCCTCCAGAACTTCACTAAAAGGTCCTATTTCGTTTTGTTCCAGTGCCTTAAACTTGCTCAACATTGTGGGCGAGAGGAAGGAATACCGAATGTTTTTCAAAACCGTAGTAGTGCTTGAACGGCGTTCTGGCCAGCCATATAGAAGCCACGATAAAGCTCCATATAAAATCTGTTGGGAAAAATTAGCTTTCAGTACAAAACAATAAATAGATGCAAAGATCAAATAACTATTCTATGTAGACCAGTTACTGTCTGGAAAAAAATATTTACATTTCTCACACCTTATTTATAAGTGAATGAGATAAAAAATATGAGTATTATATCATTATTATACATTTTAATTTAATTTAATTTTAATTTACCTTGTCTACTATAGAATATGTATTAAAGGAAAATTCTTGGTAGTATATCATTTTTACATTATTAAAGCTAAAAATCCCTGCTATAAAGCCTACCTCTGTTTCCGAGTTGACTGACAGACTACTTGACTTTAGCAAGTGGCACACTTGTACCTCAGCGAGGCTCATGAATTCCCGGCTCGCTAAAACTGCCATAGTTGCTCTGGAAACACGGCTTGACATTGTTTCGAAAACTTCATCTAGTTCAGTGGCCCCTCGCAATTCGTACAGAACGTGAAACGCTGAGAATTCATCATACACATGATTATCCAGAATTCCCCAGCAAATATTGAGCAGCTCGGTTATTTCCAGATAATACGCAGTCCTAAACATTTCGAGGAGGTTACTCTGATCCGGTGTGCCATCTGACGATATCATCCATTCATACACGTCGCTGAAACCCTCTGGAGTTAACTCCACTTCGTCGAACACAATTTTATCTTCGCCTATGGGTAACTCTAAGATTTTCGTGAGCAGAAGCTCCGAGTAAATACATAGTACAACCGAATGACACAAGAACGAATGATCGCCAATAGTGATAATAATATCAGCAAATTCGGTTTTCTGAATGTACTCCATTAAAATATATTCAGGTTTTATGTTATGGGATAGTGTGACGAAACCATCATCGTCGTCTTCAGAAGTTTCATCTTCGGGACCTTCATTCTTAAAAGGTTCATTCGCAAAAAGACTGTTCTCAAAAAGTTCTTTCTGAATACGTTCATTCTCAAAAACTTCACTCGCAATAGATTCATTCTCAAGAGAGTCATTCTCAAAAGGTTCATGCTCATTTTCAGGAGATTCAACCTCAGGAGATTCATTCTCGACAGGTTCATTCTCGACAGGTTCATTCTCGACAGGTTCATTCTCGACAGGTTCATTCTCGTGAGATTCATTCTCATGAGGTTTATTCTGGACAGATTCATTCTCAAGTGTTTCATAATCTGGAGATTCTTTTCCAGTTGTTTCACTTTCAGGAAGTTGAACCTCGTCATCCAGCATTTCGGTTTCTTTTGCAAACTGAACCAACAGCCTTTCCGCTTTGGACAGTCTTCCAAATACCATGAAAAGTTAGAATTGAATATTATTAAACACCAAAAGATGTCTTAAGTTTATCTTACCTGTTATGGTCAGGCGGTTTGAAGTCGGTCGAGACCTTAGACAAATAGGGGCGCGTTTTATTCATCCTTTAAGTTTTCGTGTTGAATAGAGTCGATGTTACTGTTGCTTGCGATATGAATACTATGCGAGAAGTATATTGCGTAGCTGCCTGCTTTTGACAACTAAAAAAACTAGATTTCTATTTATAAAAATTAAAACAATCAATATATTATATTATATTATGTGTTTGCCCTAAGTGCTTCCCTTGAATTTTTATTTTTATATTTATTTTAATATCCTATCAAATTGTAATTGATATTTTTTCAGTGCTGTCCACTAGAATGAAACAATTGGCCATTTTACTTACCGACTTTAACTTTGAGTGCATAGGCACTGCTCAGACCGACGATGAGAATGTCATTTGCGAAAGCCTAAAACGCTTTGGTGCTATTATTGGCAATATTGAAGATGAGCGCGAAAAAATGGTAAGTCGAAAAAGAAAAAGTGGCGGATCAGGATCAGAACCTAAGTTCTTGAAACGACGTACTTTCCCCAAAAGAAAATTTGTAGGATCCGCCACTGCGTAATCATATTCCGAAATCGCTTTTTTTTCATCTGCACAATCTATTACTTAGCTAACGCTTGCTGATAAACATATTATTGAGTCACTGGAGGATTTTCGAAAAAAGCAAATTGGTGGCGTCAAAGAAAACAAAAAGAAATTTGATAAGAAAACGGAGAAATTTTGTCAGTCGCAGGAGCGTTTTCTGAATATGTCAACTAAAAAGCCCGAAAACACCATTCAGGAGGTAAGTCCACTGAAATTCGCCAATAGCCCACCAAAAAAATTAATGTTTAAATGAAGATATTTTGTATACAACAACAATGCAACACAAAATTGCAAATGCAATTTCTTAGGAATTTATAGAAATGAAACGAATGTGGGAAAGGTAATCTCCTTTTTGAAAATTTCATAAGAAATCACTACGCTTCGATACACAAAATACCATATGTTGTCTCACGAAAATTCTTTAAATTTGAATTTAATCGTTTTGAAGTTCATAGTGTAGAAAGAATCTGATTCTTTAGACATTTTTATTGCTACATCTTCGATGAATTATCCATAAGTAATGGATTTTTGCGTGGATATGGTTGTATTATTTCTTGCACTGAATGGGGAAACACTGGGGATTTATATATGTAGCTTAAGATGATGATATGATTTTTTATGATATAGTATTAACGTTATGAGCATGGGTTTCTTTTGTAGGCTGATGCTAGTTTGGGCATGCATGAACGCGAGTACATCCAGGAATCGCTGAGCTATGTGTTGCGCATTCAGGAAGTGCAGGAACGAATCAAATTCGAATTTGTTGAGATACTGCTCGCATTTATTTCCGGCTGGTTGGTTTTCTATCACACAGCCCATGAGCAGGCGGAGGATCATCGCGATTACCTGCAGGACTTGAGGCACAAGGTGCAGAAGGTGAGTTCTCAATAATATCATAATGATTTTAAACTTTTTACTAACATATTCTCTTACCTGTTCTTTAGACTCGGGAGAATTTCGAAGAGGCACGCGAAAAAGTTACTGAATTAAAAACAAAGTACATGGAAAAACGCACAGTAAGTGAATGCAGTTTACCTATAACATCATTTTTAAACATATATATTTTTCACAGAAGCCCGAAGAAATTTTCACAAAGCGGGGCTACTTATTTTTAATGGAGAAAAGTACGTGTTGCTATCTATATTCCCATTTATAAGATTAATATGTTTTCTGGTTTGGGACTGACTGCCTTGTTTGCAGGGATTTTTCATTTATTATTACAGTTATCATTTCGATTATCTGGCCTGCTAAACCGATAATACTTGATAGCCAATCGATAATAATATATAAATCATATATTATTCTAAGAAAAATTAAACAAAATTCAAGTAGTTTTCGTAGCTAAAGCCTTTTTTTCATTAAAAAGGTGTAAATAATGTAATAATAACAAAATTCACTGCCTTTAACTAATTCTTCATTGCGAACGAATTATAGGTTCCATTCTGAAAATCTCCCTTTTAGAGCCATTCAAAGCCACATGGACAAAATACTATTGTACATTCAAGAAGCAAAAGCGGGAATTCACCATGCTGCAGTTCAATCAGATGAATCATAATTTCACAAGACCCGAGGCGCGAGATGATGAGAAACTTACACTCTTCTCCTGCCAGCGAAGGGCCTCCGAGTTCGAGAAGCGTTTCTGCTTCGATTTGACCTTCAAGGAGAAACCGGGAGTCGTTTATACATTTCAGGCTTTAAGCGAAAAGGATCATCGCTATTGGATTAGCGCTATGGATGGCACGGAGCCGGTAAGTCATTAAAACTCGCTTACATTTTGGAATAACTTATATTTTCTTTATTCTCTTTCAAAAGACATATCTGGCTCCCGGCAAAATCAAAGTCAGCGAGGCATATCATCTGGATGAAGCCGGATTCATGTTCATCCGCCGCTGCATTCAAGTATTAGAGATCCGTGGTCTCGAGGACGAGGGAATCTACCGGAAAAGTGGTGTGGGAACCAAAATCAGCAAGCTGTTGGCACTGGGTCTCAATCAGAAGGAGAGCGATGATGTATTTATAGACGATAAGTACCGGGATTTAATGGAAAGCAACACCATAGCGAGTGCGCTGAAAATGTATTTGCGAAATCTGAATGAGCCATTGATGACCTATCAATACCATAGTGATTTCATCGAAGCAGCAAGTAAGCTCTTAATGGTCTACTCCATTTGCAAAAAATATTAAATCCCTTTTTTAGAACAAGAAACCCTGAATCAACGAGTGAATGAGGTGCACAAGCTGGTCTACAAATTACCACAGCCTAATTTTCAAATGCTGGATATGGTAATATGCCATTTGACAGAGTAAGTGCTTAACTTAATGTTTGTAATCATTATTTAACATATTTATATATTTACAGCGTTTCACGCAAGTACGAGAAGAACAAAATGTCGGTATTTAATCTGGGAGTGGTTTTCGGACCCACTTTATTGCGCCCTCGCGAGGAATCGGTGGCCGCCATCCTGGACATCAAGTTTAACAACATCGTGATCAACATTCTGATTGATAACTACGAGAGGATTTTTAAGAACAAACCGAGCGCTGATGTCAAGCTGCCGGATGCGACGAAAGCACCCAGTATCATGTACCCCAGTCGCAGCAGTCCGCCGACTAGAATGCCGCGGGCCTCTCAAATAGGAAAGGCCGCCTCAACGGGTGCCATGGGTAGCACTAGTAGCAGTACTACGGCAGCGAATCCGATGTTCTTGAACCAGCAAAAGATCTATCGGGTGGTCAACAAATCCAATTGTACAGAGCCCACCATGTCGTCGAGCCTGCAGAATATTCCAAATGGCGACAACTATGCGCTTGGATCGACCGTGATGAACAGTTCGGGCGGTGCCGGGTGCATATCCCTGTCCCCGCCGATGCACATGCTCAATGGCATACTGTCGCCCACCGTGGGGAGCATCAATAATCTGCACACAATATCGAAAAACGAGGCAAGCACACGGCGCTATGTGCCCAGCTCGTGTACCGACACTGATGTGGCGCCCGAATATGGTATTATAAGTGCCAACAATGGCGGTGTGACGTTACAATCGCATCATGCCGTCCCCGTAAGCAGCACGACCAACTTTCGACATCCCGAGTACCTAATGACCACGGCCACTCCGGTGACCCAGTCCGGCTCCAGCAACCACATCTATACAAACACCTCGAGTGTTGCTGGTGGTGCTGCCTCCAGCAATCGGATTAGTCTAAACAATGTTTCCCCGCCAAATACTGCGATGCGAAAGGAGCGATTCCTGGGTAGTGCCAGTGGTCCACAGCAGCATCCGCCCGTCCAACGGGGTCTGCACTCCTACGGCCAGACCAAACACTATTCGCCCCTGATGCCCACATCAACATCGAGCTCCAACGACAGCGTATGTGATTCACTTTCTTCCAACAATGGCTTGGGCGGTGGTGGCTCCATTGCGGCGAACAGCAACAGCGGGAATGTGGGCCAGCACTTGGGCGCACGGAACTCCAATGACTATGCCATGATAACGTCGCAGAACTCATCGTTGTCGCCACATCTCGGGGCAAGCGTCTGCGATGAGGTCGTGGCGGCCACAACGTTGCCCTCGGTGGTTAGTCTCAGCTGCGGCGGCTCCACCAACGAAAGCTCCGAATATCCGCCCAGCAAAATGCATCGTAATCGTGACATCAACCAAATAAAACGTGATTTGTCAACGGGCACAGCGTAAGTACCATAATATATAATCTTAAATAGTCGCATTAACTAAAAATGCTTATCTTTTTCATAGACGCGTGCGCACACTTTATGCTTGCATGGGCGAAAGTGAGGGGGAGCTTTCCTTTGAGCCCAACCAAATAATTACCAATGGTAAGTGTATGATACATTCATAAGCCCAAATATTTCTAATGTACATTCAATTTCTTGCAGTTCGGTATTCCCACGAACCCGGCTGGCTGCAGGGTACACTAAATGGCAAAACAGGACTCATTCCGGAGAACTATGTGGAACACTTGAAGCCTCACCATTAGATTATCATTTTTGTAGAGTTCTCCCGTATTTTTTTGCATTCGATTCGTCGGTAGATACAATTAATATGAAAGTTAGGAAATCTGAAAATAATCGTTGTGTAAAAAAACTAATTCTGAGTATGCGCCCTTGGGGTTTTACATGAAATGCATTTTATTTTATGCTGGAAACCAGGAAAAACCACAATCTTACCTTATAAATATGTTAACCTTTATAATACCATGACCATACAATGTACTTATTTTTAATTATTTAATAAGGAGTATAAACTCAGTGCAACTGCAAAGATTTATTTACTAATTGTTACGCTCTTCATTTGTTGCTTATTTATACATAATTCACGTAATTTGTGCAAAAATGAATTACATCGTATCTAATATCTACTACATATACAATTGTATAAAAATAAATAGCAGTGCTTCGAACACTTTTAAAATGTAAACTTTAAACTGAAGTCTGCCATATATCATATCAAAAACAAAAAAAAATGAAAGAATAATAAATATTTTCTTAGCAAGGCAAAGAAAACGTAGAATGTTGAAAAAGTTGTTTGATTGTTAGGATTTTCATAAAAGCCCAATATTGTTGGGAATATTGATTCGAACCATTTTAGCTTGATTTAGGAACACCTTTTTCAGAAGTCAGGTAAGTACATCTTTTTTTGTGGGCACCAACCATTGTGATAAACAATTTGTAAAATATTTTCCGTTTTCTTTATGCAATGTTTTATATATGTGCATAAATAAACATATTTTAAAACATGAATAGACTGCTCATTTAATTTATTGTGAAGATGCAGTTTTTGTACATATAATGTTTTTTGAAAAGACTGCCTTTGTGTTCTATTTCTTTGCAATTATACAGATTTCAAATGATTATACTTACTTATTTGCATTGGAAATCCATATAACTTTAAATAATTTCAGTTTTCATAACATTTTATTTGATCATGGAAATTATTTGTTCAAGGGAATTCTTATAAAAATATAAATAAATTAAATAAATAGATTTATAAGTATAAAGTTTTATGATATTTAAGCAAGAAACAAAGCACCAAAGTTCATGACATGTATAAAAAAAACCTTTGTTGGAAGTTAGATTGGATTTGGATTTCAAAATTTCCTTTTAGGAAACTATTTTTCTTTTTCCAAGGGAAGTCCGTTTATCAATAAACTATTTTCAGCGCTTAATTCTCTTGGGCCTTCACCAACTTTCGTATGAATTATATATCTAAAGGCATTTTTTGCAATAACATCTAAAGAATCGATTTTGTTTCTTTGAGCAGGGTCAAGTTTATGACTATTATCAACCTTTGGAACAGAGAGACCTCGTAAGTACGTGTCACCATCAATTGAATCGCTTGGAAACACTTTCTGAACTGCATCCAGCAGTTGCGGAACATTTTCCTCCAAAACGTATAGACAGGCATTTGGACCAGCGTCAAAAGTGTAAGCTGCGTGATAGCCTCCCATAATCTCGTTATAATCGTGGACAAAAGATACAATCCTGTGGGATACATCGTTCATATACACACATGGTGGATACGTGTCTAAGGCAATGGCATGGAACTGGTTGGAGTCCTTCATCGTGATCTCGGCGAATGTTTGGAAGTCATGGTTTGCGATGGCTTCCCTCAATTGGGTGATCCTTTCGGGAACCACTTTATCCACACGGTGCTTGATTAATTGTGAGGTTTTCACAGCCTGTTGCATTCCCTTTGTGGAGGCAGTCTTCTTCCGCTCATCATTAACCACCAAGATGAGTACATGCATATTGGGCCAGTGGCTTGAGGGAGCTATCTGCTTGGCCACCGAATCGCTGCCATCATCCAGGGCTCCCCGGTGCCACTGGACGAATCCGCCATACAAGCTGCGACAGGCTGATCCACTGCCCTGCCGGGCCACAGTGGTCAACTCCTCGTTCAGCGGAATGTCGTACAGTCGGGATAGGGAGTACACAAGGCAGGCGTAGCCAGCGGCACTGGAAGCCAGTCCAGCAGCGGTGGGAAAATTGTTAACCGATGCGATGTGAATCTTCCAGGATGGGGGAACCTTCTGGGACCCATTCGCCACAGCCAGTCGGTGAACTGTCAATATTAATAATATATATTATAGAAGGATCTTTAGTATACAGACTTAAGAGCTCACCTTCTTTTAAACAGCGCTGCAGGCGTGGACTTCCTTCGAAAGGCACCTCTTCCCCATTTAACCACATTCGATTGGTTTCAAACGATTCCGAAGCAGATACTGTTGTTTTGGCGCACAACTTTGGGAACATACTTTAAAATATTACTCTCTAGTTAACTGTCTAAGTGTAACTATTCATTTACTATTTTTCATGTCTTGAAAAACAAATAATTTCTTTAAAATTGTATACTCAATATTCACCAGATTCGAAAGTAACGTTTTCAATACCTTTCAGAATTCAATTACTGGTTCAAAACTAAAATAAAAGGCGTGTTCATTATTTCAGACAAAGAAAATTCGGAGAAAAGTGAAAATCTTTGGGATATTCCCAAACCGCAAATAGAAAGTTTTTAAGTTATTTACTTTTGCGGGGAAATTGGAACCGGCTCGTTACTCTATGTTATTAAAGATATATCATATTATTTAAAAAACCTTCCGAATATTTCGATAAAAAATGAATAATTACAGGATCGTTATTATATTTTGGTAATATTTACCTCGTCTGTGCTAAGAGTCATGCTAATGGAATCATTGACGGGCAATATTAGATCTTCGTGCCGCTTTCCCCCTATAACAGCAGAAGGTTCCTTAGACTTCAAGCCTTATCACTAGATCGGAATAATTAACTCACAATATTTTATCAGGGCTATGTTCACAGGAGCTACACAAGTTGCCGATATCATGTTCAGAAAATCGTGTATATTCACAGAAACCGAACCTACTTTGCTTTAATTTCCAGCGAAAGCGACCAACTGTTGACATAGAGGTGGAAGTCCATCGATGATTTGAAAACTTTGGATACATCGATGTATAATGTTATGCTATTGCCACATCACTAATGTTAAGCTTAAACTTGTTCTTAACAGAAAGGTTAGGAAACCTTCGAAGCTTAACATTTCTATTAAACGAAGAGCGAGAGTCAAACCGTTTCCATATTAAGGTTCCAACAATTAAGAAATTAAATAATATATTTTAAGGAATATTTAATAAATTATGGAAATGAATAGATTGGCTAAAGGTAATTTTTTCTGTCAATCATTAGTGGTTGTTTTTTTTATTTAAAAAAAAAACCAATAAAAATTCAAATAAACATTAAAAACATTCCCCAAGTTTTTTAATGTGTAGTCCCTTTATTTTAAAGGCATTTTACCTTAAGTTTCAATTTTAGTTTTTATTTTTAAACCAATGGTTTGTAGTAAGTAAACATTAGTTGCAATAAAAGTAGAAAATACATTAGCGATAAGTATAGAGCTGTGTATGATTTTATATTTGTTTGTGAATACTTGCAGCCGCAACTATTCCGAGTTCGTGTATTTCCCAATTTTGTGGGTTTATTTTGGTTGTGGTGTTTTAGGAGACGCGGGTTTAAGAGCAGGCGTTGCATTAACTTGGTTAGGGTGAATGAATCGGGTGAAATGGAAGGGTCTAGCCCTTGAGGCTTGTCATGCCCGCACGCATCACCTCGTCGACAAGGAGCAGGTTGCTGGCGATGATCGAGCAGGAGTTGAGGATCTGCTTCTTAACGATGTAGTTGTCGTAGACGCCCAGATCCACGGGCTTCATGGGCTCGCCGGTGGCCAGGTCGAGGCCGACCAGTTCGGGGCTGAGACGATCCTCCACAGTCAGCTTGACGATGGTGTCCTGGGCATCGTATCCGCTGTTCACGGCCAGCGTCTTGGGAATGACCAGCAAAGCATCGGCGAAGGCCTGCACCGCCAAACGGGACTTGCCCTTGATGGTCTCCTTGAAGGCGACCAGCTCGTTGTAGGCGCGCACCTCAAATGCACCAGCTCCGGGCACCAGGGCCTTGTCGGCAATGGTGTTGTTAATGGCACGCAGACCGTCCCTGATGGCATCCTTGATCTGGGTGATCGTGTGCTTGTTGGGACCCTTGATCAGGATCGTCACCGACAGTGGGTTCTTGCAGTCCTCCACAAAAGTGTACTTGTTCTCTCCCAGCACATGCTCGTAGACCACGCCGGCGTAGCCCAAGTGCTCCTCCTGCAGATCGTCGAAGGAGTTCATGGCGGTGCCACCGCAGGCCAGGGCCAGACGCTCCATGTTACGGCGCTTGGCACGACGCAGGGCCAGGATGCCCTCCTTAGCCAGGGCGTCCAGGGAAATGGGGTCGATGCCCTTCTGGTTGATCAAAACAAAGGTCTTCTCGGTGCCATCGCACACGGAGCGCTTCAGATCGATTACCTTCTTCACACGCTGGTCGATGAAGTCACGCTCGGCGCGCACAAAGGCTTCACGCTCCTCGGCGGTCTTGTAGAAGAAGCCCGAGTTGACCTCCGCCTTCTCGTACTCCAGCGAGACGTTGGCCGTAAGGATGTAGGCATTCTCCAGACGCTTTGGCATATCGGGGTGGCGTGCACCATGGTCCAGGACCAGGCCACGCACCAGCTGAGTATCGATATCGGTCTTGTGCTGCATCTCCATCAGCTCCACCATGTGCAGATCGACGGGCTTGGTCTTGTCGGCACTGGCAATGGTCAGCACGGCATCCACACAGACATCGGTGAGCAGATCGGCCAGGGAGGGATGCACCTTGGTCTTCAGGCTCGTGTTGGCCACCTCCACCAGGCTCTTCTTGTTGATCTCCACGGGCACCTTGACCTTCTCGAGCACCTCCAGAGCCTTGTCGCGTGCCTTCTCGAATCCCTCGGTCATGATACGGGGATGCAGACCCTCGGACAGATAGATGTCCGCCTGCTTCAGCAGCTCGCCAATGAGCATCACCGTGGTGGTAGTGCCATCGCCGGTGGAGTCATCCTGGGCAGTGCTGGCCCTGGCAATCATGGAGGCAGTGGGATGCTGGATCTGCATCTCGTGGAGCAGCACATTGCCGTCCTTGGTGATCTTGATGTCGCCGGCGCCAGAGACCAACCTGCGAAGTTTCTAGAATTAGTGCATGTTTTGCTTTTTTTTCTCTCGCACAGCGCGTGAGTCGCGAGTCACGCCTGTTTCTATCTCTCTTTTTGAATCACTCGGATGTTGATTTACAACTTTGGCTACATTTCTCACTGGAATAGGGCCGTGCAAGCCCACTTTCATTGAAGATTTTCCCCTAATTAAATAAAAACACCTACATTTAAGCTGTTTGGAGTAAACTTGCAACAGTCTCTCTCTTTCTCTTACGATGACGCATGCCGCTATTTCAGCTCTAACCTCAAACTTGCCGTCGCCGCAGCTGTGGCCAAAATGCATGTTTTTGTGCATATTAACTAGAATTTTAACTAAAACTGCTGTTGCAAACTGAAGGGAGCGCTAATAGAGCCTAGATTCATTCACTTACATTTTCACGGTGCCCTTAGGTCCCAAATTGGTGCGCATCACATCCTGCAATCCCTTGGCGGCACTGATGTTGATGGCCAGAGCCTGGGCGGCGCGGGCGAACTCGGCCTTGGGGTTCAGCAAGCTAATGGAAGCCATTGCGTCTCGTAGTTAATCAGATATTTTATTTATTAAGCGAATTTAAGCAAAAAGTCGGCACAAAACGAAACACGCTGATTGAACCGAGAACCGAAAATCAGATGACAGTGTTGCCAGACCAGGCGAGTAACAACTAAGCTCCGAAAGATGATATCGATAGGCGAAGTCTGACCGATTTAGATTAGGGGTGTCACTGTAATCTCTTCCAACTAGATTTCAACCATTGTTCAAATCTTGGTGTCTCAAATACCGTTCCAGAATAAAGTAGACTATTTAGTCATTGAAAAAACACACTCCTTGTATTAACTCATTTGTTAAGCTTAGCTTAATTTTGATTATTTAATGCACTTCAATAATCATTTGGTGCTCCCAACTGTTAAGTAATGATAATGATATTACTTCTATAAATATATATACTGTTTCTTCAATTCTGTTAGAAATCCTTCAGTATCTACTAAATGCAAGTTTTCAAAGGACCTTCCCGCCAGAAACGGCTACTTTCCCGCTAGCGAGTACAACAAAACAAACCGGACCTTTAATCGATGGGTGGTCCAGCGCCGATAGCGATAAGCAAACAAAATGCAACCGTGCGCCAACACCAACACCAAAAAATTTTTATTGGCAGGAATAAAGTAAAAATAAAGCAGGATATTCGAGTGCGCCGACCGCAGCGCAGCGAACCAAGAGCCCCAACTGAATCGCGAGCGTGCACCGGACAGGACGAGGATCCGCAGGCGGCGCGATGAGTGTCCTGGCGTATCCACGAACCAACGACGAGGAGATTTTCCGTCACTGCACCAAGGACTGTGGCGTGGTGACGGCCACGGAGGACTTTCAGTACTTCGCCCTGCGATGCATCTTCTGCAGCGAGAAGTTCCTCTACTTCGACTCCTTCATCGGGCACATGCAGACGGTCCATCTGGGCGACAAGTCCGTGGCGAATCCCGCCTCCGCCTCCCGTCACTCCTTCAATCTCGGCGACCCCATGTCCCTGTCCAGTCGCAACGGGGATCTGCCCAACTTTCACGAGATCGAAGACTTAACGGACGCGGACACGGCTCTGCTGGAGCCGCAGATGGTCATCAAACAGGAGCTGCAAGAGCTGCCCTGCAGCGACGATGATGTGGTCGCCGATGAGGATGACGACGATGAGCACCGTCTGCGCGATTCCGATGCCGGCGAGGACGACGATGAGGCCATACTGCCAGAGAACGATGTACCGGTGGTCAGTTCCAAGCCGCGACCGCGCAAAAAGGTCACCAAGCAGCGCCAGAGGGACATCTCCAGCGAGGCACTTATCGCCGGCGACGGAGACTCCTCCTTGGACGACTACGGCGATCCGGACAACAGCTACATGGACGACAATTCCGCGGAGTATATGGACTACGGCGGCTTCGATGGCGTTACCCAAAGTGGCTTCGGACCCGAGTCGGACTTCCTCAGCTACGACGAGATGGTGGAGGAGTCTCTGCTGGGGGTAAGCTTGATTTGCATTCCATTTTTACCTAAACAGTAGTTGTATTTTTCTCAAATCTATGAAGAGTTCAATAAGAAAAGAGCTAGTTGAACGTAAACTCAAAGCCTATAAACTATTTTCCTTTAACTAGTTTAGTTAAGACTACATAAAAGTTTAGCATTTGAAATCGTATGCATTTCACCCTTAATACCATCCAATGTCCATATACCTATTTTGTAATGATTGTTTTGTTATTTTCCCACCCCTTAGCGCGACCGGGAGGTTACGATGCACATCAAGGACCGCAAGATGATCCAGTTCCTCATACACTCGTATCAGCGCAACCCCTTTCTGTGGGACCACGGCAATGCACAGTTTCGGGATCGCGTAAAGCGCGCCCGCTTCCTCGACTGGATTGTGCTGGAGTTCAAGAGCCGCTTTAACATCTCGCTGGCCAAGGATGCCATCACCCGAAAATGGGACAACCTGCGCACGGTGTACAAGCGGGAGTGCAATCGCATGGCTCTGGAGAAGACCAACATCAGTACGCTGTGGTACTTCAAGGAGCTGCACTTCCTCAACGAGGTGTACAGCTACAACGACAAGATGTCCGATGCCGTTGTAAAGGTTAGTGGTCCTCCCTTGAAATCGATTTTGTTGGCTGGGGGATGAATGAAACGAACGAGAGTCCGGGGAATAATTAACATAAACATGGGAGGCGCCAATTTCTATTGAGATGACGTGCCTTTACTTTTTGAAGTAAAAGAAATAGTATTTTATTCATTAGATATGCAAGTATAAATCTAATAGTTTATTAGAACAGTTAAGATCAATCTTATTTGATTTTTGGTTTGGTTGTTCCACATGTTGTTAATACTTGTATGAAAATTATTCTTTTCACTTACGTTTCTTTAATAAGTTTAAGAAATATCAAGAATCGTTGTTTATTTTCAAAATAATTAATGAATTGATTCCTTACCTCAAAATGCCATCCATAAAATCCTAATCAGAATTTTTAGTGCATGTAAGAAGGGCTTGGGAAAGGGACTGTCCAATGGCCAACCAATAATTCTCTTCCTTCTGGCAGGAAACCTCCTATCGTCGCCGCTTCTCGGCCATATGGAATGACACCTCCACGGCAAAGCTGCTGAGCATGGTGAAGCGGTACCAGTGCTTCTACAACCGCTTCGATCCCGACTACCGCAGCAAGGAGCGGCGCGGCGAGGGACTCCACCAAATGGCCATCGAGCTGCAGCAGCTGATCGACGTGACTACCATTCAGATCTCGAAACGCATCTCCCAGCTGCGCTTCGATTACTCCAAGCAGAAGATGGAGCGCCTCAATAGCGAGCGCCTGGGCAAAAAATTCATCGCGAACTATATCTACTACGATCAGATGCACTTCATGGACGACGATATACCGCCGTTCAAGTGCCCACACTGTCCGGATATTGTGCAAACACTCAGGGAACTGGACCTCCACATGCTCACCCACCAGCCCAGTTTGGGCGGCGGCTACTACTGCAACATTTGCAGCATTCAGTTCCACAACGCCGAGGAGTTCGATAGCCACAAGCAGTTGCATTTGGGCGGTGTTGCCGAGGTTAAGTTCAACTGCGAACTGTGCACGGCCAGTTTCCGGGAGAAGGCCAACTACGATGAGCACCTGCGGCGGCATAACGAGGAGCTCTTCCTGCCCTCACTGGCGCTCAATCACAGCATCATGGATGGCGGTGCCGGGGATGATGAGATCGCAGCTGAAGGCGAGGAATCTAGGGGCAGCGGCAGCCGTCGGAAAAGGACAGGCGGGGCAAAGGCATCCAAGTCATCCGAAGACATGGTCGACGATGAGGATCCAATGGGCGGAGGAGCAGATGGTAGTAGCGTTGCCAAGCCCTATGGATGCGAGGTGTGCCGCCGCAGCTTTGCCACGCCGGGCCATCTGAATGCCCATCGCATTGTCCATCAGGATGAGCGGGAGCGGTGCTACAAATGCGACTATCCCCAGTGCAATAAATCGTTTGTGGCGCGCAACAGCCTGTTCGAGCACCTGAAGCAGCACTACAGCAACGAGGAGTTCAAGTGCGACATCTGCGGCAAGACGTTCAAGTCGACCAAGAATCTGCAGAACCACAAGCAGATCCACGACAAGGTCAAGCGCTATGTGTGCCAGATCTGCGGATCGGCGTTCGCCCAGGCGGCCGGTCTCTATCTGCACAAGCGTCGCCACAATCGACCCAATGGAGCCGTCGGCGCTGTCGGGCGATCGGGTCGTAGCAGTCTGTGAGATAGGGATTGGGAGAGGGACAAGGACAAGGACTGGCCCAGGGCCAAGAGCCGCGGTCGGGGGCGCGGACGTGGCCGTGGGCGTGGTCGCTATGTCAAATAGTTTTACGCGTAACTGAAACTGCAACTGTAACGTCTTTAAATTGCCAGCAACCCAGGCAGCTTAGTTAGCTTTCTTAATCCTACTTTAAGACTCACTCGATGTTCAGCCCTATTTGCAATTCGATTCGGTTGAAGCTTAGTCTTAATTAAACAGTTTTTAACTCCACAAAACCAAAAGACTTCGCTTTCAACAAGTTTGAAGCCATTTCCTCGTCCGCATGTCAAATTGAAAGTATGTTTTAAACCTGGACAACATATGGTTATCTAGGGTTTAAACCCCACTTTTATTTTAGCATAGTTCCTTGCAATATCATATTTATACCTCTAATCTGATTCCGAATCGAAAACGCGTAACAGGGTCTGTTGTATTATTTTGTTTAACATTTTAGTTCCATGGTAACCTATATTTAATTGTATTTTATATGCAGCCCACTTACCTGTAGTCGTACTTAAGAGCAACAAGTATTTAACAACGCCCATGAATGCAACTTTAGTTCTAAGCAAAATGGCAAACATTTCCTTCCACTTCCCAATGATTCTTGGATAAGTTCAAATAGAAAGAGAAAGAGATGGGAAGAGCCGGACAGAAAGAGAGAGGAGTAGAGCGGTACTTATAGGAATAACAAATACTTAACATTTCAGTGCCAATTTCGAGTTCTGCTCCCCAAGAAAAGATTGTAATTAACCATGTAAGAATTGTAAACATTCCTTCCCGTATCCCAAATGTAAGCGAGTCGAAGCATTCCAGAACTAAGTAATTCATAAAGTATTCTATGTACTAACTATATATATTTATATGCAAACCTAAAAGTGCAGACAACCATTTGCCATTAAACTGACAAACCGAACAGAAAACAGAAATCCAAGCCACTTGAGCCGATAATTAACAGCAATAACACTAAGTTACTAAACAAAGTCTAATGAAACAATTATGTTTAAGCCACTAAAAGCGAAATATACACTCAAATATTATGTACTGCACAGTGCGAGCCGCAGCCATACGGCCACGAAACACACTGTCCGCGAACGACTGAATCTGTAATACACCACGAGGCGAGTTTGGTGCTTGAAAATCGCGCCGCTTCGTCCTGTAATCGCAACCGCAACCGTATTCGTAACCCTATCTTGTAAATATATAACTCGAGCAGGCCGATTAACTATTAACAGCATACACATATGTAGCTATAGCCATGGCAATATAGCATATAGCATACGGAGGAGACGGAGCTTCATTTACGCCTAAGTTCATTTAGCACAATTTCGCGGGCCATCCGGTTGGTTCTGCAGCTTACTCATGCGAAATTAAACAAAATCAAAGACCGCTTATCAAGGTCCGACTTGGTTTCCTTTTCAAGTTAGTCGAGCATTCAAACAAATTGTGAAATAGTTAACAGAAACGAGGGGAGTCAACAAAAACAAACAAATTATGAGCCAGAAGGAGATTAATAATCACAAGAATCGTAACAAAAGTGCGCTTCCAGGAGAATCAGGCGGAAAAACGAAAAAAACACAACCTACAAAAAAGCAAAGAGAAACTCATCCGATAAAAACGAAAAATTAATACAAAGTAGCATTATAATGAGTATTTTAAATCATCAGAAGAAGCGTCTGCTAAACATGTAAATTAACTGAGAGATGAAGGAAACAAATCACAATTTTATTTATCCTAGAAATATCAAATGAGATTTTAGTACGATACAATATATACACACGCATATTCGAAGTATTCTCGAATAAATAGGTTTAAATAATTTAAAAACAAAACAAATGCCCTGAGTTTTATTTATCGCCGCAATCCGCTCGAGAACGTTGTTTTTGAAGTCTTTCCGGGGGTGTTACCACTTGAATATGCCTCCAAAGATAACCGCTGATGACGTCTTTATCAGTAGCATTATCTAAACAGTTGTGGTCGCACGTCTAGTGACCATATATCTGTTAAGCTAGACGCTTTACTATATAGATGGACGCTATACCTTGGAATCATCGTGCTTGTTTATACCATTTAAATAATGTATTTTTAATTGTGCTGACGTCAAAAATATCAATGTGATGCTTAGTTGGGAATTCTCATGTTATGCCTATCTGACACCAAACTAGTTTAATAGAATTTTCATTAAACTATAGTTTTCAAATATTTTAAGCTTGACGATTTAAATTTTTTTATTTTTTATCCATTAAAAATTAAAGTAAATGGCATTGCTATGATTTAAAATGTTTTTAAAAATGTTATATATGGTCATGACATAAAAGTTCTTAAGATTTTTCAGCTTAGCAAAAATCAATCACTTTCGATAATGGAAATTGTTTGTTAAAAACTATGATTTTCAAAAAATTGAATCAAGAATAATGTAATTTTTGATCCAGTGTGAAATGCCCAGGCACGTGCCTTTATCTTCTAAAATTCGCTGTTGTTAGCCCATTCGGAGGCATATCTTTCTGGGTTAGCGTCATCGCAAGTGGCTGTTTTTCGGCCTCTTAAGACGTAAAAGCGATCACTCGACATGGGCGTGAATATTTAGGAATATATAGTATATATCACTAAAGTCTAGCGCCATACCTCCCCGTTAAATTTCACCATTGCGTAGAAAAACCGGCAGCGTGCCAATTTTTATTGTTGCGATAATTACCACCCCGGTTGTGTTTTGATCGATCCGATCAATTAGCAACCCGCCACCAAGCCCCCTCGGCTTCTACCCCATTCTGGGGCTCTCCAGATTCGTAGAATTTTGACTGGGCGGGATTTCTAGTTTCGGGTAAACACATTTATCAGCGTCTAGTATACCCAAATGCGTATGCGTAGACAGAAAGAAAATTAAATACATATATTCACATATTCTATATTCTATTATTTGTTCTCTTTAATAAAAAATGCTGGTGGTCAAAGACCAGAGCTGTTTTTTAAATTGAATTATATATGTATATCATCACATTGCTCATCATAGCATTATAAATTTGCTTCCTGTGTACTCCGATAAGATAGCCCGCAGATAAAAAACAGATTAATATAAATATGATTTAACTTTCGAACTGGGCGTTCTTTTAATCACTTTTTTTTAGGCATTACTCACGGCCCTAAACAATCAACAATTACAGTACAATTATTATATACAGCCGGTCGTGCTCGGAGCAGAATGAGGGATTCCGAGATTCCGGTTTGTGTAACTGGGTACATTTGTGGGTGCTTGGGTTCAATGTGCCCCCGTGCCGAGTGTGTCCACCTCAGACACGACCTCAGACAGGCTGACGCGGCACCAGCTTTTTCTCCTGGCCTCTACCGATGCCTAGACTTGACTAGAGTTCCTAGATGAGCTCGCCGTGCTCGTTCACCTTGATCACCCGAACGCGGGCATGGCGGTCGGCTAGCACCTGGTCGATGTTCTTGCTGGTACTGATGCCCGAGCTGATGCTGCTGTCGCCATCGCTGCCGGTGAAGAGTCCCAGGTTGTCCTTGATGAGGTGGTCGACGGCACAGCCATCGCACTGCAGGATCACCACGCCGCTGTAGTAGGCCTCCTCGCTGATGGTCTTAGTGTTGCGGGTGTTGCACAGCTTGCAGCGGTACACCAGCTCCATGCGCCGTTGCATGCGACTGAAACGCTTCAGTGTAGTCGGCGACAGGGAGCCATTCGTTTGATTCCCTGACGCAGTGCGTCCCAGGTCAAAGGTCTTGGCCGTAAACTGGCAAGCATCGAGGATGGAGCGCGGTATGGAGAGCGGAGCGGGACGGTTGGCCTTCAGCAGCTGTTCGGGATCGGTGGTCAACGGTACGGCGTCCACAGCCTGCTGCTGCTGGGTGGCGTTGAGGATCGCGTTCTGTCCATTCTGGCGCAAATAGTTGAGCGTTCGCGATGTGAAGATGTTGCGCAATGCGTTCATTTTACGTTGCTATCAGTCTGTGTTGCACATCGGCGTTGCTTCCTTGTTTCTCTCTTGTCGCCCCGCTGCAGTGCGTCCTGAATTCTGGCGCCGCACGTGCTGATTGTTGGGTAGTTACTGCGTTTGTTTTCCACCCCGTTTGGGAAGAAATTGGTCGAATGGGGGCAAGGCGAACAGCTGCTGGCTATCGTTATCGAAACAGTGCTGGCGGTTGGCTGGAGAAGCTAGCTTTTTAACGCTAAAGTTGAGAGCTTGATAATCCGCTACCAAAATCTGAATCTCAAAAAAAACCGAGCTACCCCCTTATAAAAATTGGAAAAAATTGTCAAAAAATAAATCTTCTTTAAAGTGCTGAGAATCAATAGCATTTGTAGCAAGCTGTTCAAAACTGTCGGTCCTTTAGCTGTACGCCTTGATTTGGCTAAGCTACGACTGAAAAACCACTACAAAATTAGTATTTTTGACCAAAATCTGAATCCCAAAAAAAACCGAGCTACCCTCTTACAAAAATTGAAAAAATTTGTCAAAAAATAAATCTTTCCTGAAGTGATGGGGATGGATAGCAATTGAAGCAAGCTGCTCAAAACTGTCGGTCTTTTAGCTGTACGCCTTGATTTGGCTAAGCTACGACTGAAAAGCCACTGAAAAAGAGTATTTTTGACCAAAATGTGAATCTCAACAAGAAGCGAGCTACCCCCTTACAAAAAATGAAAAAATTTGTCAAAAAACAAATCTTCCTTGAAGTGATGGGGATGGATAGCAATTGAAGCAAGCTGCTGAAAACTTTCGGTCTTTTAGCTGTACGCCTTGATTTGGCTAAACTACGACTGAAAAACCTCTAAAAAATGATTATTTTTGACCAAAATCTGAATCTCAAAAAAAACCTTATAAAAAATGAGAAATTGGGTCAAAAAATAAAAGTTCCTTAAAGTGATAAAAATCGATAGCATTTGTTGCAAGCTTCTCAAAACAGTAGGTCTTTTAGCTGTACGCCTTGATTTGGCCAAACTTCGACTGAAAAACCACTAAAAAATTAGTATTTTTGACCAAAATCTGAATCCCAAAAAAAACCGAGCTACCCCCTTACAAAAAATGAAAAAATTTGTCAAAAAATAAATATTCCTTATAGTGATAGGGATCGATAGCAATTGAAGCAAGCTGATCAAAACTGTCGGTCTTTTGGATGTACGCCTTGATTTGACTAAACTACGACTGAAAAACCACCAAAAATATGAGTATTTATGACCAAAATGTGAATCCCAAAAAAAACCGAGCTACCCCCTTACAAAAAATGAAAAAATTTGTCAAAAAATAAATATTCCTTGAAGTGATGGGGATCGATAGCAATTGAAGCAAGCTGCTCAAATCTATCGGTCTTTTAGCTGTACGCCTTGATTTGGCAAAACTACGACTGAAAAACCACTAAAAATGAGTATTTTTGACCAAAATCTGAATCCCAAAAAAACCGAGCTACCCCCTTACAAAAAATGAAAAAATTTGTCAAAAAATTAATATTCCTTAAACAGATGGGGATCGATAGCAATTGAAGCAAGCTGCTCAAAACTGTCGGTCTTTTAACTGTAGGCTTTGATTTGGCTAAACTACGACTGAAAAACCACTAAAAATTAATAATTTTGATCAAAATATAAGTCCTGGAAATTTTTTTGTTTGTGTCAGTTAGAAAAATGAAAAAACGCGAAGAGGGGTCAAAAAATTATTTTTATTATTTAGAAATAATATTCTTTAAATAAAAAAATATCTTGCTATCATAGAATTTAATGTCCAGAAAAAAGCTGACGGCCCGATAAGAAACTCCCCACTGATGCGCCTATCGAAACCGATAATCACAACAACGGACAATCGGAGGGCACCTAACCGGCTAGGCAACTATATTATATAGTCACCATATACGAGACGTTACCGAACCGATCTATTAGAAATGGCCAACTAGCTGCTGCTTAAGGATAAATCAACGTTAAGGTAAACGCCATGAACTTTGCACGCCTGGGATTCGAGCAGGTGGTGCTGCGCGGACTCCGAGCTCCGCGCCAGCAGCTCCGGACGCAATGGATGATGATGAACCGGCGCCGGTGGCTGGCCAGTGAGGCCACTTCGCCGGCGGCGGCGTCGCCAACTGCCTCTCCCGCACAACCTGCGCCCAAGAAACAGCCGCAGCCACAGGTTAAGCCGTTGCCGCTGGCCGAGGAGCGCCTGGAGTCCATCCTGTCGCCCATTCGCACCAGGATCATCCGAAAGAAGCGCCTGGCCATCGATGAACTGTCTGCCCTGGGCTTTCTCAACACCCGTGGCTATACAACCGCCGAGGAGTACAACCTGGAGGATCTGCAAATTGCGCTTCGCCAACAGAATCTGTACGAAACGAAGCGTTTCTTCTCCACCGACAATCTGGATGTGGAGCAGAATGTGCTTTTCGTGGCGGCCAAATATCCTACCGGCCAGCAGCCACGCGAGATATTCTTTTTCCGCGAGGGCTCGGTGGTCTTTTGGAACTGCAGCGACATCGAGACGAACAATGTGCTTAGCTTCCTGCGCTCCTTCGAAAGGGAATCGTATGTGAGTGCCCTGGTGCACGGGGAGAGCGAGGTGATGCCGTACACCTATATTCCATCGACGGCCGTGGATGTGGAGGGCGATCTGGTGGCGGAGAGCAGCGACTTTAATGTCACCTCGCGGGCATTCTTCCAGAATGGCAAGTTCTTTGTCACCGCCGATACGGATAGTTTCCTGTACAAGTACACCTTCTCGAATGCGATGGCGCAATCCATTAAGCTGGGCATATGGGAGGCCACCCTGGATCGCTATATAGACTCCATAGAGCATCTCACCGAGGATTTGAAGCGGGGTCGCCGCCTGAGGATCTCGCGGGCTGCTATGCTGCGGAAAACCGGTGAACTCTTTGCCCTGCGCCATGTTATCAACCTGTCGTCGGACCTGTTGGATGCACCCGATTTCTACTGGGATCGCGAGGAACTGGAGGCGCTGTATTTGCAGGTGTGCTCTTACTTCAGCATCACGCGGCGCACCAAGGTGATGAACGAGAAGATCAACCACTGCGTGGAGCTGGCCGAATTGGTATCGCACAACCTCAACGATGCCCATCACATCCGGCTGGAGTGGATGATCATCATCCTAATCATGGTCGAGGTGGGCTTCGAGGTGCTGCACTTCGTCAGCGATCACAGTGATCCACACAAGCTTGAGGTTCTGCCATTGGCGGCTCCAGCCGCTTCAATTCCCAAATAGCACGTACATACATAGGCTTAGTCGAGAGTTTTTGTAATATATTCGTATTCGGCCAAAATATAGCGTTGTTAGCGTTTGATTCCAGACAATTGGCACAAACGATTTTAAAAACTTGCTTTTTTTCGGAAATCCCACAAATGGTAATTTTTTGTAATATATTTATTTTGAAAATATTTAATTTTTGATAATGACAGTAAGGATAGTCTTTTAAAGTAAGCAAACAAATTAAAACAAACATTTAATTTTTGGTGCCTCTTTTTAAAACAGATAACTAGCCGTTAAAAATACCAAACTTTCAAAACTACCGCCAAAAACGATAACTCCGATTACAAAAGCCGGACGACCAGCACTCAAGAACAATCGACTGCAATCGTCAGCACTAAAGCGAAAGGAACCGAATTTGTTGTCATTCTGGAAAATGCTATAAACCCGCCCTGAGGATCACACGAACCGCGGAAAGGATGTCCAACGCAGTGGTGGTGCTGGACAACGGGGCGTACACGGCCAAGGTGGGCCTGTCCAGCCAGGACGAGCCGCAGGTGGTGCCCAACTGCATCATGAAGGCGAAGAGCGAGCGGCGGCGCGCCTTTGTGGGCAACCAGATCGAGGAGTGCCGGGACACCTCGGCGCTGTTCTACATCCTGGCCTTCCAGCGTGGCTACCTGCTCAACTGGGACACCCAGAAGACGGTATGGGACTACGTATTCAGCAAGGACGGCATCGGTTGCACGCTGGAGAACCGCAATATCGTCATTACCGAGCCGCAGATGAACTTCCAGAGCGTCCAGGAGGCGATGATGGAGATGCTGTTCGAGGAGTACCGGGCAGCCGGTGTCTATAAGACCACAGCCGCCGATCTGGCCGCCTTTAACTATGTGGCCGACAGCGAGGAGCGCACCACAATGCAGACGCTTAACTGCATCATCATTGATGTCGGCTATAGCTTCACACACATCGTTCCCTTTGTCCTGGGACGGCGCGTCCTCGAGGGCATACGCCGCATCGACATGGGCGGCAAGGCGCTGACCAATCACCTCAAGGAGTTAATCTCGTATCGCCACCTAAACGTGATGGACGAGAGCCATGTGGTGAACCAGATCAAGGAGGATGTCTGCTTCGTGGCGGAGGACTTCAAGCAGGCGATGCGTGTGCATCAGTCGGAGGAGAAGCGCAGGGAAATCTCGCTGGACTATGTCCTTCCGGACTTCACCACCGTGAAGCGGGGCTATGTCCGCATTCCGGGCAAGCCTCGCGAGGACGAGTCGCAGCAACAGTCGGTGCCGCTGTGCAATGAGCGCTTCACCGTGCCCGAGCTGCTCTTCAATCCCTCGGACATTGGAGTGCCGCAGGTGGGCATCCCGGAGGCAGTGGCCGATTGCCTAAAGGCCTGTCCCTGGGAGGCGCACCGAGAGCTGCTGCTCAACATCCTTATTGTGGGCGGCAGCGCCCAGTTTCCCGGCTTCCTGCCGCGCCTCAAGCAAGACTTGCGCGCCCTGGTTCCCGACGACCTGGAGGTGTCGCTCATCTGCCCCGAGGATCCGGTAAGCTACGCCTGGTACGGCGGCAAGGAGGTGGCCACCAGTCCCAACTTCGACGAGTTCGTCTACACGCGCGATGATTACGAGGAGTACGGCTTTCAGGGTATGAACCAGCGATAGTCTTAAGCTATTTTCATACACAATACACGATCTTTTGTAGAACATTCCTTGTCTATATATTGAACTAGGGCTAAAAGGACAAACTGCCAGCCGGCGGCCAGGAAGCGGGTGGGTCACTTACCTAGCGCTACAACTAAAATTTAACTATAGAACACAACTTAACATTTAGAATTCGTTTTGCGAAGTAAAATTTACAAAGGATGCGGTGCTATTGCCAACACACAAGAAATGAGATACTAGGTTAGGCCGCGTACTGCATTTAACTTGGTTAATTTAGGTCTGCGAGGCGGGTGCCGGCGGATCTCCTCCGGATCTCCATCGGTTTACATGCTGAACGATTCGCCGCATCCGCAGGTGCCCTTGATGTTCGGATTGTTGAACACGAACTCGCTGGACAGCTTCGATTCCACAAAGTCCATCTCGGTGCCTGGAGGAGGGATTTGCATGTTAGTTTATCTGACAAAATGGCTTGCGATTTCTGTAAGACACATACCCAGCAGCGATAGCTGCGCCTTCTTGTCGATGAACACCTTGACGCCATCCTGGACCACTTCCTCATCCAACTTGTCTGCTGGCAAATATTAACAAGGAAAGATCAGCATTAGTTCTCCACTGGTTAGCTCCAAGTGCACTGTGGCTTACCTTTTTGACTGGCATAGTCCAGTGTGTAGGAGAGACCATTGCATCCGCGCTGCCGTACGCCCACCTTCAAGCCAACCTACGGGGGAACAACATTAATAGAATATCTTGCATTCCAATATTTAAATCCTAGACTAGGTACATCTTAAGTAATATAATAAAGCTGATATCAAACCTTTTATTTCCTCAGGAATAAGAGTGATTATTCTGCAGAGGTCATAAAGTTACTTTTGTATGAGTGATGACCAAAATTTGTAGAATCTGGGTAGATTAACAGACAAAGACCTATAAAGATCTATGTACCTACTTAACTTAGAACCGAAATAAAGCGTTTTTATAGACGTTGCTACCAGAAATGCGTTTTAGATGCGCATAAGACAGAAAAATTACCTCAAGGGTATATAAAGTATATAGTATTTATGAAATGAAATATATTGGTTCGTTAAGACCATGGGATCCATAGTATGTATACCAATTCTTAAAACAAATATAATTACAAAGGGACTTTTTGGATTTATCGAGGAGAGTCCTAAGAGCCTTTTGGAATAATCTAAGGATAATCTTTCAGGAGTTTCTGCCTTGGGTGGAACGACTTTAATGAGTTCCACAGTATGTTGTGGTCTTGAGAGAGGGGCCTTTTTCATCTATTGGCCACTAGGGGTTACTCACCATATCCGGTTTGTCCTGCAGCAGGGTCTTGATACGCATCACCGCCGCCGGAGTCTGGAAAGGATTAGAGTGGGGGATCAGAATCACTGCGAGGGGACTGTTACTTCATCATCTCAGCTGCACGCGCTGATTTCACCAGACTGCTGCCTTTCTTACCAGCGTCAGAGCGGCCCGCGTCGGGATCAGCTTGCGACCCTTGACCGCCCGCACCGTCGCCGTTGCCACCACACGTGTTGCCATCGCTTCTTGTGCTTTATATAATTTGTTTTCCCTCAACAATTTCCACAAAAAATTCGAAAATACAATAGTTCTATTACCAGCTGGTGATGACACTACTGTCGATAGTATCACGTGAGACGACATCAGCTGGAGCTATCGATGAGCCGGAGTCACGAGCTGGGGTGGAAACCGTGACTGCGATTCAAATGTGAATTCTTCACACACATTCTTCAATTTATTAGTTTGGTATCTGTGGAATAACAATTAACAATCAATGATGAATTATTTTTTTAATGATGGATCTTTTCTAATTATGAAATATATTTACAAAAATAAACAACACTACACTGAACCTAGGTAAACAATGAAATTATTTTATATGCGTGAAAAACGTTACCTTTCCGAAATTACATACTTATTTTTGTGTTTTTTTTTAAATTTAACTATGGCGAATTTTTTAAGCTCCACTTGTGACTGCTCAAGTCACTGTTCACAGCCGCGACTCACGTTTGTCATTGCCAAGGCCAAAAGTGCCATCCCTAAGCCCAACTGCATTTCACACGTCTGATCAGAATTAAATAATATCAATAAAATCGAGAAAATGTGCGCCCTACGACAAGTGTACAAAATCAGCGTAGGCGTGGCAAGGCGCACACTGTACACAAGAAGTCGAACAACACAAGCCGAAGCTTTAAAACATCCAAATTTCCAGTTGCAATTGCAACAATTTGCAACCAAAACACAAACAGCTGTTTTAAGGAACAACAACAACTACACGTGCATTTGCCGCAGCCTACACTGCACCAAACCGGTGGTAAGTAATGCGAATTTACCTAGAATTTCCCAAGAAACGCACAAATATTTACTTCTTCCTGAGTAAGCTTTTCAATACAAAAATTTGAAAGAATTCCAGTTTTTTTAAATATAAAATGTTTAAAATTTCTGTTAAAACCAGTGATTACTTATACATTTTTCATATTTATTATTGATTTTAACAATAAATAATTCTTTAAATCAACTTAATTTTAAAATTTCGATATAATTTACATGATCAAACAACTTATTTCTTTATTATTTTAAGTAACAATATAATTTTGAACAAGTTATCAAGATTAATATTAATGACAGAATTAACTATTTTCATTTTGTTCATATCAGACTTGTGATTATGTACAAAAATGTACTCTAAATTCAAGAAGTATACATTTTCTTCGCCTCCAGGAAGATGCGGACAAGACGGTGGCCACCAACAGCGTTCCCCTGGCGAAACTGGAGTCCAAGATGCAGCTAATCTACACCTGCAAGGTGTGCCAGACGCGGAATATGAAGACCATTTCGAAGGTGGCCTACCAGCGCGGCGTCGTCATTGTGACCTGCGAGGGCTGCTCCAATCACCACCTGATCGCCGACAATCTCAACTGGTTCACGGACCTGGAGGGCAAGCGCAACATCGAGGAGATCCTGGCGGAGAAGGGCGAGAAGGTGGTCCGCTTGACCGATGGCAACTGCGAGTTTCTGCCCAAAAACGATTAAAAGCTTATGGGTGATTAACTGAACACGAAGGCCACTTTATTGAGCAGCTCCAGGAGCTGGGCAAAGGTCTGGGCGGACAGGAGGGTGCGTAACTGCTGGGCGAACTGGCGGCGACATGGGGATGCGGGGGCCAGCATCAGGTGGGTCACATAGGTGGCCTCGTTGAGGGGCAGTTGCGCCACAGCCATGGCAGGAGCCTCGGCGGTCAATTGCATCTCATCGAGGTCCAAGTAGGGCAGGTGCCGGCTCCAATGGCCGGTTAGGTATGCAATCAGGCTGCTAGCCAGACGCACATGCTCCAGGCCAGCCCGGAACCTCAGAACGTTGGCGGGCGGCAGCACGAACAGGTACACATTGTGCAGGAATCCGGAGCAGGCGGGCGATGCGCCCTCCGTCACAGTATCGCAGATCATGTTGCGCAGTAGATGGCAGTCGGAGTGGATGTCACTGTGCCGTGACTCCTGGAAGAGGTGCAGCCACACCGGGAAGCCCACCAGCTCCATGGCGCGCTGCAGAGCGGTCTCCATGTCCCGCAGACTGGACAAGCGACCAATTCGCTTCACCAGGCGGCGCATCTGCTGGAGATCCGGGCTGATGAAATCACTGCAGGATAGTGCCTCTGATCTTCGAAGCTCCGACCAGTCCAGATCACGGATCACACTCCAGGCGGGCTGAATCTCGGCGAATGTGCGATGCATTAGATACAGCAGTGGCGCATGCGCTTCTCCCCGCTTTGTGTTCACAATGGACTTGCACAGCTCCCGGATGCACTGCCTCCGAGCCTCCAGACTAGAGCAGCCCGCAAAGAAGCCACTGGAATCGCATCGATCGGCCAGCGGTTCGCCAAAGCGATCGTAGCACTCGAACAGGTACAGGTGAGCCTTCAGCAGGGATTCCACCACGGATTGGCTGAGCCGCAGGTGGCGGTGCTCGCTGTGCATCTCCTCCTGGCAGCCGCGCAGCCAGGTGAGCAGCTTGAGGCACAGCGGCGCCACATCCTCCAGTCCAGTTTCCTTGGTCAGAACCAGCTCCTTCGTGATAAACAAATCCATACGCCGCGCACTAGGGATGTGGAAAATATACCAACATATCAGTATATTTTTGAATAAAAATAAATATTTATATCGTGATATCTTTTCACCTGATATTTATTATCGCAACAAACGTAAGCGGCAGAAAACGTAGTGTCAGCTAACGTAAGAGCCACGTAAGTCAGTAAAAGAGGGAGATAGCACCAACGTAAGTGACAGAGGGAGACAAAAAATCATGTTAGGGATGTGCAAAATGTATAAAAATATTTATATCGATATTTTTGAATAAAAATAAATATTTATATCGATATTTTCGGAATAAAAATAAATATTTATATCGATATTTTGGAATAAAAATAAATATTTGTATCGATATTTTTGAATAAAAATAAATATTTGTATCGTGATATCGCCAGAAATATCGATACACTTGTCAATAATCAACAAGTCATCGATAGCCCGCTTCAGTGTGAAACTATTTAAACTGGTTTTTAATCAACTGAACTGGAATATCTGCATTGCTTATTCAAATCATTTTATTTATAAAAATCAAATGCCGTATATTTCCCTCCTGATTCCAAATGTATTTTCCAACCATGACCATTAAGTGATTTCTGAAAATTTATTTTGATAAATGAGCTTACTCTTACTTTATTCCACATTCTTTAAGTTACATCTGCGGCTCATTATTCCAAAGGTAAACATAAAATGCATAACATAAGGACTTATTCTCTTACATCAAAATACTTTAATCCATTTAATTATTTTCCGCTGCCTTCCCTTTATCTTCGGTAAATCGACTTAAGTAAACAAGAAACCAAAGTGTATAATCTGTTTATGTGCATTTGCGTTCTATATACTACGTTTAATCCTTTGCTATTCGGTTTCGTGTTTAGTTAAATAAAAAATATGTCAAATCGTGTATATTCTTTTATGTAAACCTTTCTGTTTTT